TCCTCAGTTGTCTCCTGACCTGATCCACTGTGAGCAAATCTGCTTCAGTTATTATAATTTTGTATTTACGAATTACTCTTTCATTTTTATATTGTTTTGAAAATTTATTTTTATTGTATTTTAGTTTTTTCCCCTGAAAAAAGTCACTAGTAGTTTATTTTTTTAAAATGACTATAATATGGATGGTGTTTGTCCGAGACTAGTTTTAGGAAAATCAACAATGTTGTTATAGTACAAAGACAAAATATTTTTAATAGCCCTTATTCTGAGTAATTTAGACATCTCAATAGATTTGTGTTGTCCAATTGTACTGACAAAGAATAAAACGAAATACACTTTCTCTGTGTATTCGGTCATCTTAGTACACAAATTGATTTCAGGTCATTTCTTCAGATGAAAATGAAAATAATTTATCAAACCTAGTTTTAGGTTGACAGAATAACCTAGTAGCTCTTTTCATTTTTGTCTACTTATGGTTGCAATAAAAACTTTGTAGATAGAGTCACAGTCACCTTGTTTCTGTTGTTGAATTATTTAAAATGTTGTGTATAACGGCTGTTAACAGCACCAATGAAATGTAATTTATTCTCAGTTGTTTGAATTCAAAAAAGAGCTTTACATAAACACATTAATCTTTTCTCCGTTTGGTTTTACTAACATTGATTTTGTGATATAAATTCTTTATGGCGTCTGAGATAGAAATTAGAAATGGATTAATGATAAATTCAGTGTCTGAATTAAATCAGATTGAATAAATAATTTATCATTGTCGTTCCAGTCTCGCAATATGAATGCACAAAACTGATGACTATAGTTATGAAAAGAGCTTTATACTTTTTGGTCGTCAAGCTTAAAATATTGCACTCTAAGTCTGAAGCATCATTGTGTTCAAGTTTGAGGCTTTGTAGAATTATGAGCCATCATGTCTCTGAGTTTGCTGCCCACTTATCTCTAAATTTAGATGCATATATAAAGAAATAGCTCACTGCTGTGTCTGAAGTGCCCCGATCTGGCCTGGAGTTGGAGAAGTGGTTGTTACTGCAGTCTTTGAGACTAGTAGATGAGTTTGTGTGCAGCAGTGGTCTGCACAGATTATATTTACATGAAGCTTTTAGCAGTATTCAGGCTGATACATGTGATTTAACAGGTTAAATGTGGTTAACAGCAAGTCACGATCTTACACTCTCCCTCTGC